ATCCTTAATAACGATTTCTCTAAGGAAAAATTCCATACCCTGTTGTCCTCTCATTAAAATATGTTTTGGACTGTTTTTGCTTGTAAATGGAGCATGATCTGTTCATATTTCTCTCCTAATTTAGACGAGACAACTTTTTTACTGGATAAAGCAATAATAATCGACAGAGGACTCTGTTTGAAATTTAAAACATCTGAATGATTAATTTAATTACAAACACACAGCTTTTCTAAATTTCTACAAATCTGTTCTGATGAAGAAACAAACTCATCTACAACTTGGATGGCCTGAGGGTGAGTACATTTTCATTTTTGGGAGAACAGTTCCTTTAAATACCAGAACTAATTCATAGTGCCTTATTGCCAAACAATTTGTAATGAATTGAGATCTCTTCTAATCGATCTAGGATCATTCTTTTAATCAAAATGATGTATTTTCAAGGCCTTTGGCTTCATTTATTATTTCTGTACAAAACAACACCGTATGGGCTGACAAATTCTCACCTCTCTTGATCATCAGGTGTGTCAGCGAACCAACTAGCGGGTTTGTAGGAACTGTTAGGTTTTGTTTCCATAGGGTCATCATGCCTCAGCAAACCTATGGCAGAATTGAAAGATAAGCAGGATATAATTATGGGTGTGTTTTAAAAGTAGAAACTATTTCTTTAAGGGTTTTTCTTTTTTATCAGTTAGCTTGCGAGTAAACTTGGTCACTTAGTAACAAAAGCAGCATCAGGATCCCAAGCATCATATATATAAGCTGACTGCACTTTTTGTAATCCAGTTTTGTGTAAAAATGTCCTAACTATTGGCCATTTGATCAAACAATACGCCACAAAATACTGTGCACAGATTAGATGAGTTTTTAAGATCATTTGTCACAATCATTTTGTTTTCTATCCTGAACATTTTTGCAATAGCAGTTTGTCATTCTGTAAATATATACTTCACTTATAACAAATTGTAAATCTTGGCAAAGTTGAAGATAAATATGAAAATAACACATTCTATACAAGTGTGACACAATTACCCTTCTGTCCTCCTTGTTTTGCAAGTTTAACATAATCTGAGTCAGAGGCCTGAATTCCTACACGTCTTCCTTTAGATTTTTCTTCAGGAGTAATGTCAGCAGATGCAGATAATCCCGGAATCTGTGATGAGGGCCCAACTCCATTTGAACTAACAAGGTTAGCTGTCCTAACACCTACAAAGAAATGATAATATTTGTACTATTACTTGCCTTAATCAGAAATGTTTTGGGAAAACACCATTCATGTATTATGTGACAGCAATGTAGGCATAAAGTTATGTGTAAAAAAGATAACAGTATAATGCTTTTTCTCAGAAGGGCCGTTACCCGGTTTTGTCCGGCGATAATTAGGTTCGGCAGCCATGACTGGGTGTCTTAGTGGTCAGTGGTGGTTTGATAGCTCTGAAAATGCAGAAAGAGAAAGTTAAGTGCTTAGCAATTACACCAAATAGAAGGTCAGCCTAACTATTACCCTTTAATGCGTGCTTAAATTATCCAGTTAAACCGCGAATCAGCTCGACAGCCAAGCTAACTTAGCTAAGCGAATACATGCGGCTATTACTGATTATGTTTTAAAACACTGGGGTTATTTTAGCTATTCCTCTCAAGATGTTTCTTGTTTATCATTTAGCTCGCGAGCCAACCCGGTCGCCTAGAAACAAAAGCAGCATCAGGACCACAAGCATCATCTGTACAAGACACGCCAATTATGAGCGCAGATTAAAAAAAAACAGAAATCACAGACATTACAGATCAAAACCAAATTGGGAGCAGAATTAAAATAATAAATTACGTCGTTATTGATATACCTGAGGCTACAAAATGATGTGGAAAAGACAAAGCTTACGTCGTGTTAATCAACGCACAGAAGGGGGGACGCCTAGATTCTTCTTCTTCATCAGAGTGAACTGCGCACTGAACCGGGAGACGCCTTTCCTGCCACCTACTGGATAGGAAATAAATTTCAAGAAGCGGGGATACACACCATAGACATATAAATACCTAGACTCCTCATTGGCCGCTTTGAGCCGTTGCTTCGATACGTCAACGCGTCCGCCATGTTTGTGAGGGCAAGACTGCCTTAAAAACAAATGGAGGTAAACGCGAGCGGCCAATGAGGAGTCTAGGTATTTATTATGTCTATGATACACACCTCCTCCACACAGGGGCGAGGCCACAAATGTAGGGGGTTGGCCTACATAAAACAGGGTGGGCAAAGTGTAGCATATGAAACCTACATGTCAAATTGCTAACAGAAAATAGGCCTACAGCACGATCGGTTCAATAACCAATACTTCTAAAAAGCATTTATTAACCTTATTGTTAATAAATAGGATGAGTTTAGCATTTCCTTAAACATTTTCCATTTGTCCACCAATTTATTTGATTTATTTGCCTACTTTAATCACGTTTAATTGAACCAGAGATTACGCTAAAATAACCCCTCCCCCCAACTTTATTATACACAAATAAATCCTTTTATAAGCCTTTTTATTTATTTATTTATTTTTGTTGTTGTTGATTTATTTATTCTGAATGAAGTTTTAAGCTGTGGTCTTGAATAAGCCTAATTAATAAAGTTGAATTAAGCGAAATTAAGTTATTTTTGTTTAAATCTATAAATACATTTAAATCTGTTGTTCAGCTTAATAAATTCTTTATTAGGCTACTATTTTACTGTATGGAAGGTGCATTTTCTGAAGACGTTTAGGCCTATTTATTTATTTAGCCTATGTTTAAACCATATTTAGACAGTTTAAAGCCGATTTCATGAATTAATGATTAATGATTTAAGCTAAATTAAGCTATCAACATCGTTATCAACTCTCTTTTTTTTAGGCTAGCCTAGGCTATATATAAATACAGCTAGGAGGCATTTTCTGCTTGTAAAAATAGTAATTAAATAATAAAATAATACGTTGAAAAATACATTGACAACAAAGTGAATGCAAAATATGTGCGAATAATACTATTGAAATCAAATAATTACTTTTATCATAGCCTATAGGACAGGGGTGTCAAACTCAATTCCTGGAGGCCCAGGGCTCTGCCTAGTTTAGATTCAACCCTAATTAAACACACCTGATCCAAGTAATCAAGTCCTTCAGGCTTATTTGAAAACTACAAGGTGTGTGTGTTGGAGCAGGGTTGGAACAAAACTCTGCAGGGTTCCGGCCCTCCAGGAATTGAGTTTGACACCCCTGCTATAGGACTAATGAATTTATTTAAAATCGGCGATCAATATTAATAAAGGTCTACGTTTTGTTGTTGTTTTAGAGGTGAGTTTAAACATGATTCTCCATAAATGTGCACTGACAGACTTACAGTCAAATCAAAAGTTTGTAGTGAAGCCCCGGGGACTTTACTGTGGTCACGTGTCGTGACATCCGCTCAGAGGCGTGCATAAAAGCCAGAGGACGACGTTCTCAGCTGCAGAGATGTCAGCACACACTCTGAAGATGACAGCATCTGTTCAATACATAAGAAAACTGCTGGGGAAAAGCAGCTGTGCGACAAGCAACCTGCTGAACACTGGACACAAAACACAGAAGAACACTATTGATTATAAAACAATCAGGAACAAAGATGGAAAAAGTCATAAAAGAAATGTAAGCGACTATTCATTTTAAAATGTTATTTCTTATTTACTTTATTTTTTGACTTTTCTTTATTATGTTTGATGTTGGATAAGATTTGATATTTCTCTAGTAGGCCTATTTGATATCTAAAATTGAGTAAGCTATATAAATAACATATTAACCTAGTGACTTATTTTAATAATTAACAAAGTGGAATGTTATTTTTTTTAGGTTGTGCAATCCCAAGACAAGACAACAGAGCAGTATATAAGGTAAAAAAAAAAGTTACTGATTTGCATTTCAAGTTTGTCAACCCACATATGCAACTCAGAGTTGGTCTGACTCTTTCTTGCTCGTGTCTCTTTCTTGGTTAACAGGAAAAGTGTCGTTTTAAGAAGAGAAGAAAATGAAACTTTTGGGTTTGACATCCAGGTAACCTTATTACCCACCCACCCTCTCTCTCTTCTCATACTCTTCTTATCCTTTTCTCTCCATTCATTCAAGCATTACGTGCCTGCCTAAGGGCTTATTATCTGTCAGGGGATAATTGAATTTTGGATGATGAATTGATTGGGTCTTTACTCCCTGTCCACAGACAAGCAGTGTTGAGAGAAGCATCAGTGCTGAGCAGGATTTGGGCTCATGTGTGTGTTGGGTGAAGGAGAACAGTCTTGCAGAGAGTAGTGGGTTAATGACAGGTGAGTTATGCTTACTTCTGTCAAGCACCAGTGTCATTCATGCTTTCTCATTTCTAAAATCTCTTTGTCTCTCACCTCAGGTGATGTTATTACAACAGTCAACAATGTGTACATTGCTGGATTCACTCATCAGCAGATCAAGGATCTGGTTCAAAAATCCTCCATCTTAATGTAAGAGCAAACACAGTTACATTTTTGATATGTTAAACCTTTTATAAACATTAATGTACAGTTAATGTTATTAGTACATTAATGTACAAGGGAAAAAAAATGTTAAAATGCTACATTGTTTCACAGAATTATTTTACACTATGCTGTTTAACCACACATATTTAAATTATTATTGTTATTATTAATAAATATGGTTTTATTAAGTATTTTTAAATCATTTTTTAAACAAGAAAAATATGTCACATGTTTATTGATGGTTAAAAAAATATATTTACAGAAGTCCCTGTGTGAAGCATCACATTTCATTATATTTTATTTACACTTTTTATTGAACTGCATATTTTTACAATATTACACTATACTAATATATACAAATAGCTTATACTAATATTGTCTTAGCAAAGTAGTAGTTTTATTGTTATTAAGCTCTGTGAATCAGTCAAAACCCTGACTAACCCTATTTTTCTCTTGTGTTGACTGTAGGTTGGAGATTATCAGAGGTGCTACAGAAAAGCAGAGGCAATTGCTTAGGAAGCTTGATCTCCTGCAGGTGATTTACTTCAAAATATTGAAAATTTCTTATTAACATCAGTCCCGTTTTATACCCTAATAATTTTATAACGCTATAATCATTCTTGTCCTGATTCTGTCTTGCGTAACTTGTGCATAGTTATTTACGGTAATGTTGTTGTATTGGGTAACTGTGCGAATCATGAACAAAACAGGTTTCCTCATGCTTAACAGGTTTTTTTTCTTTCTCTGTGTTTCCCCCTCACATTTACACCACACTACAGCAACAGTTTACAGAGAAATGCGAAGAGCTTCAGACACTCATCGCAGAGGAAGTGCATCTGACAGGAGGTGTGTGTTCATGTGTGAGAGTAAGACAGAGAGATGTGGGTATAAACTACCCACAACAGAAACGCATCATTTCCCCATAAAGCCGCACTTTGCCCTCAGGATGCCAACAAAAGCATCTGTGTGTGTGTGTGTAGGCGTCGTGTGGGGAGTGTGTGTGCTTATATGGAGAAATTCTGCTTTTACAGGAATATACTTTGCTGACAATTCTTGATACTGTTCTGATGTGAAACTTCAGCATGTCTGCACTGTAAAAAATGTTTTGTCAGGTCATATAAAATGTGTCTCGATAGAGTAACAACAAATTTAACTGGTTTATTCAAGTAAAGTGTATACTCGGTGATGCCTTAAAAGAACCATTTTTGGTTCCCCATTCTTTAGTGTGAAGAACATTTCAATAATCTAAAGGATCTTTTGCCACTATAAAGAACCTTTTGTGCAATGGAAAGGTTCCATGGATGTTAAAGGTCCTTCATGGAACCATATGACAATAAATAACCTTTATTTTTTAATGGTATGCATCAACAGAAACTTTTAAGAGATCTTACAGGAATTACATATGTTAAAAAGTATTACATAGAATAGCATACTACTTTATAATGAATAATAATTTGTGATAAAAAAGTAGAACATAGCTCTAATAAATATTTTCAATTAAACCATTGTTATTCATTTCAGTTATCTACTGTTAAGTTATCTACACAAACACTTAGTGCAAGTAAATTAAACCAATCTGTTCCTCTGTTTTCAGGTGCCGTTGAAAACATCCCGAAGCCTTGTACCCTTCCTACAGGATCCTCTGCTAACCTTTGATGACAGTGTAGACAGTTTTCTTCCACTTCCAGTACAATCAAACACACCTAATCAAGGTTGTGGGGTTCTCTTGAAAATGACAAGCTAGTGCATTAGAATAGGGTTGAAACTAAGCTCTGTGATAAAGTAGATTGGGTACCCTGTGCTCCTGAATCATTTTAAAGTTAGTCCAGGAAAGCAATCCTGGCCATATGGTCAAGGAGACCCCATAAGAGACCCTGTTGAGACAGGATCCTATATTTTCTGTATTTCTAAATTCAGTGTTACATCATGGTTTGAATTAGTGAATGAAAAGCTAAATATTGATGTACAGTATAAGATGGAATTATTTAACTATTTATTTTAATCATACTGCATTTAGTATTATCTGTACTGTATTTGTGTATTTTGCACTATTAAGCAATCATTTTATTTCATTTGATCTAATATATATTTTGTCTAAATTTGTGTATTTATATACAAAGTGCACTAATATTTATTCATTTTCATATTTATATCATGCTTCTTTAATAAACCTTTATAACAAACTGATGTTTTGCTGCTTTGTAGCACACGCTGGTTCTGCTTGGGCTGTTTCTCACAGTACACTTAATCTTGCTGAAGGTGGTTTGCATAAGTTGATTTGTCTGCTGTTTACTTCTGCTGAACATGTAAGTTTCCCAGATATCATCTCTGTCAGTGGTAAAACACCAGATGCAGTTCTCATTCACCACATAGATCTTAAGCATGGCAGGAAATGACACGTCGTTGACTGTATACATCCCGTCTCAGAGACAAACCCTAGCATTCTCACCACTTTTATAAGACTTGATTGACAGTATAATTGATGCCTCATTCTGTGTTCGACCTCTCTGACACCTAATTTTATCTTCTTAAAACACTTTGTAGAATATCTTTACAGTAAGTGTTGAAGTAAGTGTTGTAATTTCTTAGATAACCCAGGGAATGTTTATCCAATCACAATGAAGTCTTGCTTATAATTTATATGTAAGATTTGAGCATCTAGTTATTTTGTTTGTTCAAACACAGAGAGTTTAAATTGATACTAAATGCAGTATACTTAACAATACTTAACTGTGCCTCTTTTTGACACACTTAAGTAGGACTTATATATGTTATATGTCATTTCATAATTACTTCTAGTGGTTTATTGAAATATGGTTAAAGTGTACTGCTGAATATACCAACAAGCATTTATAGTAAAATAAAACATATACATTTGCCATTTCTATTGAAATGTGTACGTCATGCATTCAAATATTTGTAATTAATGAAAATGTAGTACTTTAAATGTAATATCAAATAACACTACAGTTATAATTATAAGTGAGTACTTTACATGTGGTGTAGTGTCTTGTTAGTCAAGACATTAAAGTAAGTTAAGATCATTTTTGCTTTATTACAATGTGCACTTTTTTAAAGGGCACTTAACTGTGTTGAGAAACATGAAAATGTTCTCTCTTTAAGTACATTTATATGGCCTTTTATTTCAATAACATTATATTATCTGTTTTGTAAAACATATTTTTAAGATTTAAAGTACACTACAAGAGCACATTCAGTACAATTACCTGTAAGCACACTAATTTTTCATGAGGGAACAGTGGAAAAATAAAAAATTAAAAGCAGAATAGACACACGCTTCCCACAAACAGGAGGCTGACTATTTGACACCTCCAAAAGATGTTGGACTGTGAAAATATAATATCCATATGACAGAAAGCCTGTTATCCTTGTGTAAGTCTAGGAAAACAAAACGTTGCAGTAGAAGAACACCGAGACATCTCACATCTTTGAAATATTTGAATATCCTCGGAAAGAAGCTCAAAATAGAGAGTAGCAGTTTTTCAGCTGAGTGTCCTGTCTCTACCATTGAACCCATTAATCCCACAATCCCATGCTCCCTCCAAGAATTAGAAGCCAAACAACACTGTTCTCCAAACAATGGGGATGAAATTCTCATCAACTTTGACACTGGGAATGAGAATGAGGCTGCGTCACACAATGCCAGTAAAGTCGTGAAGGGAGGACACAGACACAGCCATGCACAGACTGCTCACCACAAGAGACTACTTCTGAGCATCCTTCTCCTTCAAGGTCTGCTCTCACAGGAACCGGAGTCAGACCTACTAACACAGTGCCACAGAGCCAACACGAACAAGGTAAGATACATTATTGAGCGAGTACAATGCGGTTGTAGAGTTTGCGTCAATGTGGTGGTTGGTTTCTGCGTTTGTACTAACAATGCAAATCTCCTCCATAGACTGGTCATTGGTTTTGATGAAGGTATATGTTAACTTCTCACATTCAGGTGGTTTGGTTTACTTTTCAAAGTGCATAAGTTGTTTTATGTTGAGGAAAAACTAATTTTGGTAAGAAAAATTACACAAAATTACACAACCATGAAGAGAACAGCAATGATACTTTCAAAATGTAATTTGAAAGATGTCTAGACATGGTTACTTGGACAGATATTCTCACTTTTCTGTATTTATGCAACCGAATGACACATTTGTCATTTCTTGCACGTTATGTAAGGCCTTGTTGAAACACACAGGAAGAATTGTGTACTTGCTGTTCACATTCCAGCAGTTGGCTTTGTATAGTCAAATCAAATTAAAATTCCTCAAAACAACTTTGCATCTTTTGCCAAGTCTCATCCTATCCTGTTGAGGATTTACCAAAAGTCCTTTCCCAATTTGGACATTGCAAACCATTGTGTTGATCGAAGGCATAGACATTGACTGTCATCTGAATACCATGTCAGGTGAACTGGTGAAATTACAGCACAGAAACACCTATTTATTTGTTAATTATCATTTTAATATAGAAACCAATCACTGCAGGCATGTTACATCTGTGTTTCTTGTCAGTTTGGTTCGAACATCTGTTGATTTTGGGGTAAATGGACTGGAATTCAAACTGAGGAATCGTGTCTCTTTTCCTTTATAAATTTACAACTACTGCTGCAATCACAGGACAGGAAGTGACATCAATGGAGCAGAACGACAAGGGCACATTGGAAACTGAGAAACAGTAAATGAATGGTCAAACAGAAGAAGCACCTCAAGAGACGACCACACCTGAAGAGCCGGCTAATATAAGTGAGAATAATTCAGATAAAAATGATCAAGAAATAAGTGAGAACAATGCAGAAAAGAACGAAGAAGAAATAAGTGTGAACAATTGAGATCAGAATGAAGAGGAAAATGCGAAGGAAGAAGAGGATGAATCGGCTGATGGTTTCCAGGCTTCGGTCGAGATGTCAATCCGGCAATTTGAGAAGGACGAAAACAACCGCCCTATTTGCAGGTACAACACTGTCAGCTACAGGACGATTAAGAGAGGAAACACAAAGCAGAGAATAGATGAGTTTGAGTCCTTGCTGGATATATAACAGTGATGAATGTCATCAGAGACACATACTGTATGTAAGAACTGAGTGGCGTCATCATGTATGTTTTCATGTGGTTCCTTCAAAAGTATGTGATTGTTAAACGTCTTCATAGTTAAAAGGCCTAACACACAATCGCACGAACAGTATTTTGTTACAGCTTAATTTTGGCCTATATCATATTTTTGTAGAAATCAGTAGTTGTTGAAAAAACCAGCATATATGCTGGTTAGGTATGTTTTGACGCTGGGATGCTGGTTTAAGCTGGTCCAGTTTTTTTCAACAGGGATAAATCACATTTTGTAGACATCTTTAAAGCATTAAGAAAGCAGCCTCATCTCTGATCGATTTTAAGTAACCCGTCATGTGGCAGGGAGCTGAAAAAAACAATGAGACAAATGAGATTTTTCATTCATGAATGCTCCTTCAAATAACACGCAGTCTGTCTGACTAATGCAGGCCCGATCTCTGCTGTGTATGTAGTTGTCAAATCTCCATTAATGAATTACTGGAAGAACTTACAGTTACAGTAAGCATACAGTATGAAAGGCATTATTGTATTCCTGTTTAAAAATTGAATTCTAATGTAAAGCTACCAGCTTTCTAATGCTGATTACGATTATCGTTTCATGGCTTTGTAAAATATGCTCACAAGTTTTAAAATACAACAATAGACACAATAGTCAGCAGTTTACAATTTCCATATTCAGATTTGAAATATATGCATATATGTATACTGTAATTATATCTTTGGACAATTAGTAGTTTTCATTGTTTTCTATAATGACATAATGTTGATATCTGCCATACTAGAAACTGCATTCATGTAATCTGTTCAAGTTGTTAAGGCTTCTTTTTCTCTGACTGCACAATTTTTTTTTTCATTTGTTGAGGAAGAATAAAATCTGTGCAATAATTGGTTTAAAACTTACTGTATATATCTTTACTTTTATAAGCCAGTTGAGACAAAACATTTGAATGTTTTTAAATAATTTCCTCACCACTAGATGGCAACATTGTTTTGTCTTGATGTAAAAGGTGAGGAAAGCGGTTTGCATGACCTGTCTCTGTGAACTTTCACAAACTACATTCCTGTTAATGAGTAACAACGTCTTCATTTGAATTTTGAACATTATTCGTGATCACATGTACTTTTCTAAGCAAAATCCTGACTGTTATGTGCCCTGTTATGCATATTTGTAGAACTGAAACATTCATCAACTGAAGAAAATAAACGTGCATGGATTATTTAAAACAAATGATATTGACAGCCCTTTATAAACCAATCTAATATACAACCAGAATAAAATGACGACTTGGATAATAAAATCAAACTTTGACCAGCTCAATTAACATGAAGAAGGAAGACCAACAAATTGTTTACCGTTGTTTAACTAATCATATTTATGTGGCATCTAATGTATGTATAATCAATGTAATGAGATATTTACTGCAGTAATTAGTTTAATTTGGGTGTTTATGACCCAATGGACTCTTTTATTTATGTCTCTGTGTTTCTGGCCCCTCTCTAATGGCTCATTGGGAGTCTGTGAGGGTTTGGTGTTGTTTCCTCTGTTAGCTCTATAAATGCCTGAACTTTACATTACAAATCTCACTAATTGCTTTTTATTTGAAGGCAGTTTATGAATATCACTTCCATTCCCCCAGCCACATTACCTGCTGCTGACTGATCGTAATGTACCACTGGTTACTTTAATGTTTTCATAATTCTGCTGGAGGTTTACTTGACAGGGCTTTTGGCCTGGCTTGTTTAAGTCAGGTCCGGGCCTCATTTGAATGGTGACAAATGTCATGCTGCCATGGCAGCGGGAGGTTTGTGACTGTTGTGGTGCACCATTCCTGGGCTGGGGGTCGGAAGGCACTTCCTGGGCAACACACGTCCCCTGTGGTTTAGGCTCCTAATTGACCTTTCCTGACAGAGCGGTGCGGCTTTTCATTCTTCCTTTCTCCATCTCTTTTCTGCTGTTTCCTCTTTCTTTCTGGTTTTGTCGCTCTCACTCTTTCTGTCTCCCCAGAAAGCAGGTTGCATCACGGTGGGCTGAAATGCCATGATTGGCCCGGGGCTTTTTCGCAGCTCTTTCTGACTTCCTCTGTCCCTCTTTGCCTGTTTGTGGCATGTTTATGGAGCAAGGACCATGTGCTTGTCTGCTAGTTTTGTGTCAGATAAAAAGGAAACACGTCTCTCATGGGTTGCAACTTTTGAAGTATGAAGTATTACAACATATTCTCTCTTACAATCAAATATTTGAACACTGAAGCCACACTGAAATGTGTACATTTTATTGAATTATACAGTATAACAAAACATCAAACCAACACAGCACACCTTTATCGAGCAAAAAATGTTTATTACTTATGGTAGGCTTTAAATGTCAAAAACAATAGATACTCTGAATAGATATGAAAATAAAATGCCCATTGTTATAGTGATCTAAAACCAAAACTATATTGTCGTTACTTGAAACTTAACTGAAATACAATCAAATATTTAAAAAATGTAACTTTTTCATTCAGCTAGTTGTCTTGAAGTAAAGTAAAACTAAAATAATTCAAACTAAAATTAATAAATAAAAATCTATTTACAAAAATCTAAAACTATTACAAATGATAAAAACACACAACAAAATCACTAAAACATGAAAACAGAAAATATAAAAATTAATTAATTAAAAATATTAACAAAATCTATAATAGTTTATTAATGATACTAAAATATCACTGATATGGGGGGTCTATGGAAAAGCCAAGAGAAAAAAAATGCTTCAAAAAGGTAGTAGTAGTAGTAGTAGTAGTAATAATAATAATAATAATAAATTAAAATAAATAAATGAATAAATAAATAACATTTATAGAATTTGACTACTGTTTCATGCTGCTTTCTAAAGCATAGTCAGAATTCATGTTTGTGAAATTAATCACAAATTATTTTATTATTTTCAGGTTTATACATATAACAGTATACTCTAATGGTGGGTAAATAAAAAGATGTATTATATTAATATAAATAAGAAATGTTTTATATTTTAAATATGTGTATACAGTATAAACATATTTAAAATATAAAACATTTAAATGAAAATATTTTGGGGTCCCTGTGTTTTAAGCGTCTAAAAGTGTCCAAATACTTTTGAGGCCACTGTATAACTCAGATGAATCTATCGGTCTGTAAAATAGTGTGTAAAATCAGTTTTTGTAAAAGTACAGTAAATCCCAGCTCTGTATTTTAGGTGCAAATGAATCCACAGATGCTGACATGTTCCTTCTAACAGATCTGCGGACGATGTACAGAATAAATGATGATTTGAGAGCGAGAGGTCGCCTCGGAAGTGTGAGTCATCCGTCAGTGTTTGTGTGCTGGGAGAGCGGCCCACTGTGGCCTGACTCTACGGCAGACATTCATGAAGCCCCCTCACGCCATGATCGCTCCACAATTACAGCTTTGTGAAGGATGGAAGAGAGCTGCTGTAGAAAATATTCAAAACGCAGAGAGAAAGAGAGAGACAATGAGAGAAATAGAGGAGCTATCAAAGTGTTTAGTTCACAAAGCCTGCGAGTGTTCCAGCTCCACTAGAAACTTTCAGTCGTTCAGTTGAGTTTAAAGGGGGTGAGAGACAAATAGAAAGCTCGCGTCTTGTGGTAAACATGGGGTGGGGTCAGGAGGGGTCATTTTTCTTTGTGCATTCAGTGGGTGGGTGTGATGGGTTACTGGAGGCCTGTTCCGCTGTCCATTCTCTCTTCAGGTCAGATCCAGAGACCAGTGGCGTCACAGTGACTCACAACGGACATGCCATGACAGACAGACAGGAACTGATGACGTCTAACATCATTTAGGGGGAATTCTGAGTGAAATAGCTTCTGAAAAACTAATTTCTTTGGGGTGGCGTTGTTTCCTGCACAAAAACTCAATAATTAACAATGGTCAAAAAAACAAACCAGCTCCAAAAGACTCTATGCCACCTTGAACTTCACATTCTTGTCATGGGCTAATAAAATATAATTTAAAAAAGAAATTAAAATTCTGTTTAATTTAAATTATTAATAATTGTAGTATTATATTAAAATAATAATAAAATACTATTTTTTGGTTATTACTATTAAGAAGCAAAAACTGAAAAAATCATACAGTAATATAAATAAACAGATAATGAAGTGAATAGACAGACAGACAGACAGATAGATATATAGATAGATAGATAAATAGACAGACAGACAGACAGACAGAAGACAGACAGATAGATGAAAGACAGACAGACAGACTAGATAGATAGATAGATAGATAGATAGATAGATAGATTATATACAAAAAACGTATGTAAGACTCTATGCAATCCTAAACTGTCATACGCTAATAAAATAACATTTAAAAATGATAAAAAAAAATAAATAATTTATATTATTAATATTATTAATATTTTACACAAAAAATTTAATATTATTTAAAGAAGAAAAAGAAATAGAAAATTAGAAAATCATACATACAAACAAACAAATACATACAGTACATGTACATACATACATAATGCCTTTATCATAAAGTGCTTTTACAGAATGGGTTTGTCTATTATATAATTTTCCCAAAATTTTTGCAAATGCACAACATGAAAAAAGAGAGAAACCAAAAAAGTGAGAGACATACGTAGATATAAAGAGAGAGAGAGAGAGAGCAGGGGGAAGAGAATTAGAAAGGGTGTCTCCAGGATAGTGGAGGTCACAAGAGGTTTCCTGATGAGTAGTCCTTTGGGGTCTCTTTTAGCTTTGAGTGACAGGCATCCATTGTGATGGCTGTGAACCGCTGCACTCTGGTTTATATCCATTCTTATCACCAAACCAGGGATGGTCTGAAGAGATGGCCGTCTGCAATGCATAGAATAAGGATGGCTTTCCACCACAAATGACC